GTGTCACGTAGTAAAATTTGTTAATGATTTTAAATCTGCAAATTTCACAATGTTATAGAGAAAGCACACTGCTTCTATTTTTTAAACTGTTAGTACAGTTAGATTTAATTAAAGCTTGTATGATTTTGATAAATAATAGCACTTTAATAGTATTCTGTGAAACTTTTAGTTTTTGACTAGGCATTTGATTTTTTTCTTTTTGTTTCAGTTTACCATTTATTTACTGTCTTAATTATTTGTTGCACAGGATGACAAGCTGCAGAAAGTGTTTGCAATCCTCCATGTAGATAAGGAGGGCCAGGTCAGAATATTTTGCATATATAGGAACAGGATTAACTCTTGTTGATCATTATGTAGTATAATTCGTTTGTGCAAATGTTATTTTTATTCTGTCCCTTCTTTATCTACATATTCCGATATGTTGTCTACTATCACTTCACCAATATTTAATTCGACCTTTTTGGCATTTATAAAATTATATTATTAGTATTATTACATAATATATGAATCTTTACATATACTGTTAATATATTATAAATAGTGTGCAATTATGTTGTATCATTATCATTTCTATGTTATATAATAATAACAGTATTGAGAAGAATGAGTAACATATTATAATATATAATTATTTTGTATGCATTTAAAATAATCCATTATATCATGCTACATTTACAGTTTGCACATTAATTGTACTTATGCACGGTGATAATCTTTTTCATAATCAAGTAAACAAATGAGATCTTTTATATAAATGTTAATTATATACATATATTTAGTTTTGTTACGTATGATTTATTGTAATGAAATGATTACAGGATGGCGAGTCAAGAGTGAGGGTTGAGATACATCCACTGGATGTCACAGATAAACATGAGAATATCGATGAATCTATCAATGCAATGCAAACTGATCAGAATATTAGTCCTACGGAAATTAGTCCTGTCCAGAATTTTCTTAGTGGAAAGAACTGCCTGCACGGAGCAAGTATCTTTAATTATCTGTACTCCATTTGTTCTTATTGAACAATATATTTGTTAACGGTTTTCTTTATTATTAGGGCAATGGCTGGTGGAAGTATGAGTTCTGTTATGGACGTTCTGTTGTTCAGTACCACATAGAACGTGATGGTACAAAGACGATTGTCAATCTTGGTAGATTTGATAAACAAAAACATTTGGAATGGATTGCCGCGCATCCATACAAGAAACCCAAACCATTAGAATTAAGGAAACACCTCTCACACTTTTACAGCGACGGAAGTAGCTGTGACAAGACTGGAACTTCTAGACAAACCGAGGTATTATGCATTGCTATGAAGTTTGAAAGATATTGTTGATTTAGAAAAAGATAAAAATCATCTTTTATTTTCAATTTATAGTATAATAATTGCAAAAGAAACTTATATTTTTATTGATTGTAATAAAATAAATTGTATATTTTTTTCTTAATAACCGATAAAACATTTCCTAAATTAGGATGTTAGATTCTGTCGCAATTTTTAAAACGCTTTAAAATGCTGAAATTCTATAATTTTTTATTTGTGTCAATTTTCTTCCAAACCAAAAGTGACTTCTTATAAATATTTATAGATATCTATAATTTTATACACTTTCGTTTGTTTTTGTTCTAGGTAAAATTGAAGTGTGTGGAGAACCATACTGCAAGTCCATCTAGTGTATCATTATTTTTATTGGAACCAAAAACATGTGAATATGTTCTGGGAGTCGAATCACCGTTAATCTGTGATATCTTAGAATACGCCGACGAAAATGGACTTCTGAATGACAAGTTCGAAGCGAATTTCGATAAATTGAAATCTATGGCTTTGCATGCAGAACAGGACAATTTAGACGAACGAATAGCTAACGGAGATGATTAGAATAATTTATTTGTCTTCTTAATATTAATTAGAAACCATCAAAGCCATTATTGTTTGAATATCGTAACTTTAAAAATGTTCATTGTTTATTGAGTATAAAAAGAATTACATTCTATAAAACGAATGAGTGAGATTGAAATTAACTATATTACATATAAATGTGTTTGATATATTATAAAAAAAAAACTTGTATTCCAAACGATCTAATAATATAAGTATTTAATAGGTTCCACGTGTAAATATTCTGTTGTTTGTAAAAATGCATATCAAAATTGTGTTCCAGTATATGCAAGGTTTATAATATGTCAATATTCAAACAAATTTTTGGAAAATGACTTTAGCTGAATCAGAGATATTTGTGAATCTTTCTATTTCGGCTTATCTCTTTTCTATTCGAATATCGATATCGGGATACATAAAATAAAAGCTTCTAAAATTCTACGAAGAAGGCAGCGTTTCTGAGAGAATGTCCAAAATTTTCAGTATACAATATTGTTCTGTTTACTCCTGGTTAGGGATTAAGGGTTGTCTTTAGCCGACGTTCAGGCCGATGCCTACGCGAAACTGTTGCTTCTTATGATTCAGGAAGCCGCTTATAATTAACGAGGCTCCAGGAATTGGATGCAGCCTCTTCTCGAAAACGGCACCCATGCTAGTCTCCGAATTGACGAATCCCCGGCAGATAAAGTCCGCATATGGAATGTCGACGCGGTACACTATTGTTCCTATGGATTCGTGTATCCGTGTGTTTGTCTCGATCTCAACTCCGAGCTGTAACTGCTCGCTCGCTTTCCGATGGTAGCAGATGTGGATGCCGGCTTCGCCAAACGTGGCTGACAATGTGGTAGGACCCGTACTATGCCGGAATGCTGCACACATCACTGTCTGCTGACCGCCAGGTATTAGAGAACCACGTAAACACGCGATTTCCGTGCCGAGAGTGATCCTCGGCGTAATTGCTTGCAAGTAATGAAACACCAGCGTGCCGTGCAGCTTCATGAGGTCTGGATTCGCCAAGGTGAGCGCCAGGGTACAATCGTCCGAGCGGTACTCCAGACCGGAACTGAATGCTTTGTATTTCTTGTCAATCTGTGTAGCGAGCTTGAATCTATATCTGCAGCCGAGCGTGTGCACGAAGCTGGTAGTTATGTTACCGCTGGGCGTAATCTCACCCGAGATCACCGGGTATCTCTCCGTAAGTCCCACTCGCTTGGTACCAATATAATTCACACCAAATTTGAGGCCGTATGGTGTCACGGAACTCAGGGTAATCTTGTAAGTCACGTTGAAGTGCTTACTTAGAGTTTTTTTCAACAATAGATATGCGCCCTCGAAATTCTGTGGATAGAGCTCCTTAGTTTTTGCATGAAGATCCTCGAAGCTGCTAGGGTTACCAGGCTTCCTGTCCACCTCTTCGAAACAGGGAACGCATGGCGGTTTTTCCTGGCTGATCGGAGTCATGAAGAGCTCGCGTTTGTTGATAAGTGCTTGGACAATACCCATTATGACAGGGACGTCGTTTTCCAATGAATAACCAATTTATTTTAATATTAATCTACCGATTTTTCAACCCGCGTGCATTCGATACATATCGATCTTCATTCTGTGCTTCAATTCGATATTAATTCATTAATGAAAATTGATTAGGGATTTAAAGTATTTTAATGATAAATGATAATTATTTGTACAATCTACATGATTAATATATCTTAATACGTTTTTTAAATATCCTTTCTAGTGAGATTTTTCCTTTTATATATATATACAATATATAAAGTTAACTTAAAATTAAATACTAATAAACAAAGCTGTCGATGTCAACTCGATGTTAATTTAAAATATAATTTTTCTTGAGATATTTTTTTTTCGTTTATACGAAATAATCTTTTTTATATCAACCTTACCGTATAAATTTGTTAATCTTTATTCCTTTATAATTTTATCTTTTATATTTTATTTACATTATTTCTGCGTTACATTAAAATTAAAATGCAAGTAATATACTTTAAACAATTAAGTATTTTTTAATCAAAGTATTAAATACCACAATGTCTAAACATGCAGCATGTCTAAACATCACAATGTCTAAAGTTACAGTTTTTACGCAATATAGTACAGAAGACATATAAAATAATATTTTGTCTCCAACAGAATAACAAAAAAGTTTCTCAATCGGTCACCCAATCGTTTGACAAGTGTTTTCATTTTCTCAGATCTCATCTTTACTTTCTATTTATTTTTTTTTATATTCATTTTTAAGTCTAATTTTGTATTATATACCTAACAAAACCGTCTTTGTCATACTTAATGATTTGCTGTGTTATATAGAATTTCGTATTTCTGAGATGCTGTTTTTTTTTTTCGATGAATACAAAGTGCGCTAGATTAGAAATGTCTCATTCAACATATTTTAATACTCTTTTTGAATATCTGTTTTTTGTAATTTTTTATTAGTTTTAGGAAAATAAAAATAATTCTATTAGTTTATTATGGTTGTCAAACTTTCTAATGATCACAATATAATCTTAACATAATTTATATTTTTATATATTTTAATATGCATAATTTTACAGTTAACAAACTTTTCTTATGTTATTTTTTCCGTTTTTATAAAATGATTTTTTTTAAACATTGATTTTTTCTACACAAATTTATTAATCTTTCTCCGTATTTTTATCTTATATTTTATATTACATTAAAAAAACTTTGACTTCTTTTTTATATGTTATAAATAACTTTTAAACGTATATAAACAAGTTTTTAAATAAAATGATGTCAAAAATGTCTTTTAAATATTCTCTAGATTATGTTTGTGATAATAATAAAATTGGAAATGCTTGTACTTTCTTATCACACGGTCTGATAATTACAATAGTTGTAGTATATAATATACATTAACATTTTGATTTTTCTTTTTCTTTCCTCAGATCCGAAACTTACGTATTAATCTTTTTTTTTTTCAAGACAAATATTAAACAAATGCAGAATATTTTTTTATTCTAAAATTTCTTCAAAAAAGTACATTTCCTTATTATAAATGAGTGGCAATATTGAAACATACTTGACAACATGTTCGATAACACTTATACATCATCAGTTATATATCATTCAGATTAGTCTCTGCTTTGATTAATAAAGTTGAGTAATGTCACATTATCATTCGTTATCATAAGCTGTTCTAGATATAAAAATGGAATAACAGTAGTAATGACATCGAAAGAATCTCAAATAATCAGTTAAAAGGAAAAATGAGGACCGTTATTTTCATCTTGGCACTGCTGTGCACGGTTTATGTGAGTCCCATAAATTAAGTTTAAGAAAAAAGATCTAAATCATTCTAAATACTAAAATAAACTGCTTAGAAAAAGAATATAATGGATTATTTTTTCATTTTTTGACCAAAGTCTCACCAATATTTTCTTGAAAGATTGAAAGTTATATCTATTATTTTATAATTATTTATTTATAATTACAATTATATTATTTTACAAATTATTAAATAATTCTTATGATTAAAAGGTATAATAAGAAGGTAATTTTTTCGTTTTTTTTTTTTTTTAAAAAATGCATATTTGAGAAATATAGAATATAAGTATGTATATTCTTTTTATATTTTATACTTTAATTAACGAAACTCTCATATATTTTTTTTAAGGCATTGGAGCAAAATGTGACGGATTCTTCGCTCAGTTTCGAGCGATTAGTGGATATAGAAGAAACAGCCACCAAAGCTGTACGATACGATCTATTATCTTTCGAAGAGCGAATGTCGCAGAATTTAAAAGTGAACCTTGAAGGACTAAAAAAAGAAGCTTTAGGTGATATCTACAATACTATTAACGGAACACTTGAAGATGTCAATGTGAATATCATTTATTTTTATCATATTTAATAGCGATGAAAAGGAGAAGAAATATATGTATACGGATTGTATAAGAAATATTTAATATTATAATTACAACATTTAAAAATGGATTATGAGAGATGTATTTGCATAAAATATATACAAATTACTTTTCTAGCTGTCCATTCACAAAGAAAAAAAAGAGGGTAAAAACGTAGATGAGTGTTATTATTATGCAAAGAACAATTTAGAGTCGAAAAGTACAAATGCGATTGCTGAATTGGAGATATGCATTCAAAACGGTTACACGGCTATGGAAGGCCCATTAGCAGTCGTAGTCGACAGTATCCAGGTAATCAATTTATAAAAATTATAAAATTTCATTATACATTAATTTACTAAAATTGTAGAAACCTTAATTTTTTTCATTGTAATCACAATTTTGATAATGTTTATATTATATAATATCTTTTTAATGTATATTCGTATTTTTTTTTATATAAAATGCTTTTATATATATTACTATTAATATATATATTAATATATATATATATATATATTATATATATTACTTCATTATTAGAAATTAGAAATAACTTCATTATTAGAACATACACAATCTATACGGTCTACGAGTTTAATTTGTATGTAACTATTTCATCACAAATGAAAGAGTAAATATTACAATTTATAACACTCTAGTTTTAAAATTATCTTTCTAGATGACGGAGAAATTGCTAATTAGTTTAAACGCTATGATACCAATTTGTAATTTTACGAGCTCCATCACAGAGCAAGCATCTCATAAAGAAGCCTGCATCTTGAGAAGTCTTTACATAACCAGAAACTTGCTGAAACGTGTTGCTAGAAATTCTGGAGAGGCAACAACTACCGCGACAGGCACATACGCGAAAACATTTATAAACGTGAAAAATTGCATCATAAAAAACACTGTTGAGACCAGCATTTTTAGCATGAATATCGTTAACTATACTGATAATTGCGTGAGCAATGTACTTAAAAATGATCCCAAAACAATTATAGAACCAACTTCTGGCGATCCGTAATCTACTACCTAATCGTCAACTATTCTCAAGCACCCGAAAGATTCACATTTTGAAAAAAGAATAATTCAGTTAATTTTAAATTAATTTTTTATTTGTGTACTTTATTACTTTAATTAAAAGCATTAATTATCAATCTAAAAGCATAAATTATCTTTAAACCTTTTGTTTAAAACAGACTACAATGTTTTTTGTTCAAATAAGAAATAATTCCTTATTTTTAATATATTATAAGAGCTTTTACCTTATAAATATCATATAATTAGATTAAATGCTTTTTGTATTCACAAGCGAAACATATTATGTCGCTTCAGATCGTGACAGCATAGTGTAGAAATATTAAAAATAAAAATTATGGTTATATCAGAAAACATATTCGACCAGTTTAATATTCACTATAAACGTATTGATTAGCAATATACAATATTTGTTGCGTAGGGATAATGACAGTAGTGGGAATAGTAACAGCAACAACAACAATAGCGGCAGCAATAATAACAATAGTATTATTTATAATTATATTTATCATTAACATATATACTTCGATAGAATTATACATATTATTAATTATACCATGTCGACGTGGTCATGATTATCTTCACTTATATACACGTGCATACGTATATATGCGTAGATCCATGAAAGCACACTTAACAATGCGAAAATTTCGCACTGCCATATATACAGAGCGTCTCAGAAATCGCGCACCTTCTTTATTGATTCTTCGACAAGTTTAAAATCAACTTTTTCGTAACGAAAACTCGATTGGACTTCATTTTTTTTACATCCATTATACTGCACACATATCAAACATCTTGACAATCGCATCTTAAATATTACATATTTTAAGATTTTCATTCGTGTGCATCTTTATTCCTTTTTCAGGAGTCCTTCATTTATTAATCGTTTAGCAAAGGCTCGATACAGTTAATCATCTTTATTCGGTATCAAGTGTCTAAGAAGAAGTGCACGATTATTGGGACACCTTGCGTATGCATATATTTCATACGTTAAATTTGTATTTCATAAGAATATCATATATACACAGGGTGGCCCAGAAAAATAATGGATATAAATAACTGAGTTCGATTGTTTCTTGATGTGAAACTCAAGTGGGTTTTTAGAAATCAATTCGAGATTTTACCGGGGAGATTCGCATAAAAGTAATTTGGTGCGTTGACAGAATCAGTACGCCCGCTGATGGCCATATACATATAATCGATAAGCGAACGTACATTGGAACGAAGGAAGGGGATTGTATATTAAAAGCCCCTGGCGAAGTTGAAGTTTTACCAAATTTAATTATAATCCGGAGACTCTGAGCAAAAATAACTGAGGATTAACAAAATTACTTAAAACTTGAGTGGCAATTACTGGTACCGCGATGCATAATACTATCATACTACATTGCGTACTACCACGGAAAAGCATGCTTACCTTGCTCTTTCTATCTTTCTATCAAATCGAATCTTAAAACATGTAACACATCTTAATAGGCGCACAATCATATTTTTTTTACTACAAAAACTTGAAATACAGCATTAATGTAAATATTTCTCGTATTTCGCACGAGCTATGTAAAAGCTTGCTCCCTTCGTCGAAATAAATATCACACGCCCTTTAATTACTGCTCTAATAAGGACTATAATAGAATTAAAATATTACAAGCGCATACTTATTGATATGGCTATCAGGATATAAAGATTTATTTTCATAACGTTAATTTTCCTAAATGGATTATATATGCTGTCTTATTTACAAAATACAGTCTGCGTATAGAACTGTTCGATAGACCGTACAATTGACGATTAACTCACCGCACACTTGGGATCCTACTGTCTTATGTACAGTAAAAAATCTTAAAAATCGATGTGCATCGCGGTACAAGAAGAGGAATCTCGTTTCGGGATTTCGCAACGCTTGAAAACTACAAAGGTATCTTATGTAAAACGTATTACAGCAGACACATTCAGCGAATGAGAAATTTTTCTAACAATGTCATATCTGTAATAAATTCTCTTCTTTTCCTTTCTAAATCGAGATGGCCATATAAACATGCCTGAATTTAAAATAATTATTTATATAAACAAAACAACATGTCTAGCATCATAATACGTGCGTAACAAGCCAAAATTTTTATAATCATTTTGTATTTCAATATTGTGTGTGTGTGTGTGTGTGTGTTGATCTATATATATATATATATATATAACAATTGAAAATTCTTCTGAATAGAAAACAAAAGATTTGAGGAGTTTACACCAGGCCATTCGCGTGAATCTCAAACTCATTAAAACATCTTACGAGACACTACAAAGTATCTTAGTAACTTTATCTTATTTTCGTTCTATTTCGTACGAACCATTTTTACTGACAGCAAATATTTGGTTCTGTCTAAGTATAATAAGCTATATGCACTAGAGCTTCTCTGTAAATGCAATTGTACTTAACAAATTATGAGCAAATTCTTTTATTATAATTTACTAACAGTGTACTGCCATCTGTGTTCCCAATCTATTATATTATCTTCTCTGGTGCAACAATGACTCCTATTGTTTGGAAATCTCAAGCTCTTTCGGTGAAAATTAATCCGCAATAAACTATTAAGATAAAAAAATAGAGAAAAAATAGAGTTCATATGTTCGCCATACCCGATAAGAGAGCATATTACATTACAATACTTAAAAAACGAGATGCAAATCCTTGACTTAAAGAATAACATAAAGGACTTACATATGACAAGTCAAGTCCAGCGGGAGTACATAATTCAAAATTGCGATATTTCAGAGGTCAGGAAGTCGGATAAATGTATCTTACTCCCACACACGTTTATAAAAACAATTATATGTATGCATATATCGAGATAGTTTGTACATATTTCCTTTATGTATAAATTTAACTCGTTATTTTTTTATCGTGCACTAATGTGACTGTTTCAACAAAATTATTTTAAGAATTATATTGAGATGTTTTTTTTTTTGTTTTATGGACACAGAGGAAGATTGTACAATAATACGTTGAGATAAAGAAAGAAATTTCATGACTTCCTGCACACATAAAGCTCATCGCAATATATTCTCCGCGTTCTTTATGCCGCAGGTGATGTGAGTGTATCCGACCTGTGCATTCTTTATTAGTCATTTGAGATATTACCACTGTTCCAAGACCTAGCAAGCACATGAATCACCTCTACCATTGCTTCTTTGGTCGTTGGTCAATTTGATTTGATCCGGGAATTCATTGTAAAGTTCGACCTAAAATTCACAAAGATATAAAAATAATTGAGATAGATATGTGGATCGAGAAGAAACTCTGTGCCTCTAATATACTCACTTCACTTTCTTGAGCTAAAGCATTCTTAGCTATCGTTTGGAAAGCTTGCTCGACATTAATAGCCTCTTTTGCACTAGTTTCAAAATATGGAATATTGTTCTTAGATTGACACCACTGTTGTGCTCTCTTGCTTGAGACCTAAAACAAAAGATACAGACAAAATGTAGGAAATAATAAATTGCAACAATTAAATTAAATTGAAGTATTAGATTTTAAATATGTAGTATTTATATTTGCATATTCATTAAAAATTGTACAAAACTATTTAGAATTCTGTTGAAGATTTAAAAATTATTTTACTCACTGCTCTTGATTCAAGATCTACTTTATTCCCGAGCACGACAAACGGAAAGTTATCTGGATCTCGAGGCGAGGCTTGAATTAAAAATTCATCCCTCCATGAATCTAGAGATTTGAAGCTAGTTGGTGCTGATACATCAAATACCAGTACACAACAGTCTGCGCCTCTATAAAAAGCCACTCCTAACGATTGAAACCTCTCTTGTCCAGCAGTATCCCAAATCTAAGACAATTCCGTTAGAAATACAAGGTATACTGACAATTTGTTAAAAGAATTAAATTAAACATGAGGTTTACCTGCATAGTGACTATTCTATCCTCCACCATTACTTCCTTAGTCAAAAAGTCTGCTCCTATTGTCGCTTTATATTGGTTACTAAACTTCTTATTGACATATTGATTCATTAAAGAAGTTTTTCCAACTCCCGAATCCCCAAGGATAATTACTTTCAGCAACACTTTCTTGCGAGATGCCATACTTGCTGAAAAATATAAAAGTATTAGAAATTAATTCTTGCATGAATAAACATTTGAAGCAAAGGTCAGTGTACAATTTAAAAATAGAAACCATTTTATGCCTAATATATATAACTTCCTTATCATATCCTGATAACAAATAGCATTCTTATAATATTTTAATATAATTCTTCTTTAACATCAAAATGTGACAATTTATAATAAAAAAATATAGAAGCAAATACTTTTTTTAATGAGTGTCATTCCATAAAATTTATATGAATGTAAATTTTCGATATGAATCTTTCAAATTCTTGTCTATAAAAAAAAGTTGAGTTGAAATATTAAATATTCTATATAAAAATTTGTTTATTTGTGTAACAAGTACAAGTAAGACATATAATCTATTCTTTTTAATATTTTGTTTTTATATGAATATATAATAAAAATTATAGGTATCTTACTCCATAAATTTTTTAGGAAATTAAAAGATTAGAGCAATTTGAATATAAAAAATGTAATATTAACCAATCTTTACAAACAAATCTAAAAATTTAAATTTTATTGCTTTAAATCAAGAAAAATAATATTCTACAAGTTATATTTGTAAAAATTAAATTTGCCACAATTTTGTAAAATTCAATTTATAATTATTTAGATAATATTATTGCTATAACATTAAAATAACTTTTCAAAAGTTTCATTATATTACATATAAAGCAAAAATTTTTCAAACAATGAAAACTAAATATCAGGTGTTGTTGTCTGACCTGTAAATACGAGCGAGAGATCGGCTTTTGATATTACATTCCATCCATGCTCTTACAACTATTTACATAAATTTATCATGTGTACCGAATCAAAAGTCACCAATTGTTATCGCACGAAGGCTTAACGTTTGTCTGGGAGGAATGCTCGATTAAATGAATCATCTAACAACGTTAATGATGAAAAGACTCCGAGTGACAATGACGTATGTGCAACACGCTCGCGAAAAAAAAAAAGAGCGAGAGAGAAAACGAGCGACTTTCTTCGCGAGAGAAGAACGTTCGAACGCGAGGTATCTGGCATGATCACCAATGATCGACACTCTCGAGATCCGCGGCTTCGGGGAACATTCGAGATGCGACGGACGACGAGATAGCGCGAGCGAGATACGTCCCGATGCGAGCGAAATCCGTACGTTCGACGCCTCCGACGAAATCTGTCACATGCAGGGGGGCCTCAGGATACTCGGTCCACCTCGGGATACTCGGCGCGACCGTGTCCGCGAGGATGGGCGGACGCGAGATCCACGTCGCAGTTGCTACGCGTCTTCCGCGAGAGCCGCGGAGGGACGTCAGGGCGAGGCGGGGGCACGTTACCTGGGGGAACTCGTCAACACAAGGGAACACTGCCTGCGAAAACACCTCCGCGCTCCAGCGCTTCACACAAAGAAAATGGCGTGTTATGAAATCACGAGTATGACAACGATGTCGTCACCTGTTCGCCTCGCCTCCCTTATCGACCGAGGGCAATCGAGTTGTGTACATATTCGAGACAATCGCGACGGCAGACGGCGTCCTCTCACTTTCGAGAGGTCGATCCACACGTTCCGCAATATATCGACTACTCGCGAAAAGTGGAGGCGCGCGAGATGTGGTTGTTGTTTTTGCGCACACGGTCGAACTAAATCGAACCGACTTATCGCGATTGGTCGAGATTTAGAGGCTCGCTGCGTGAATTTAAATTTACAGCTCACTTCCAGTTTGTCTCGTTTTCATATGATAATGCAAGAGATGTTAATGACGTAAGCTATATACATATAATCGGTGCCTTCCAACGAGCGGCACAGTGCAGCACAGCGATCATCTCATTCTTGTTTAACTGTGTCGCTTGTTGGAAGGTATATATGTCATAATATGTCAATCGACGTGCTTCCTTATAATTTGAAGCATTCTATTACGAATACAATTATGAGAAAAATCAATCTACCGTTATGCATGCATTTATTATTGTTGGGAAAACAAGAGTAACAAAAAATTATGTTAAGATATAATTAATATGTAAATGAAAATTAATCCTGCGGCATGCATGTTTTTTTGCTGAATGGTTTGCGTTTCAGTAAATTACAAGAAGTTTTGCGTAATTTTTTTTGCTAGTAATTAATTTACTATATAATGCAAGCAAATAACAGGAAAAGAAAGAAGAGGGAATTCATTTTCTCGCGAGTTTAATGCAAAAAAAATATATTTTTTTATATCAATGGTTAAAATAAAATCGATTTCTCCATACAGATTGCGGTCCATATAAATATGCATAGCGCACACAAATCTGAATGCTCATCGCTCTGACATTTCGGAAATCAAATCTGTATTTTTAATCGTTATCCTTGACATACCTCGTGAATTCAAAAAAAGAATACTATACGTAAAATATATTGCAGAATTTTAAGGTTTTGCAGACAAATTAATCGCAATCAGTTACTTAATTCAGTCAACAAAATGTCGCAAACATCCAACAGGATGTCTCTGAAATAGATCGCCATTTGGCAACCATCCTCCTGCAATTTTTGTGGACAAGGACAGATAGATTGTAAGATTGTATAATACGTATTCAAATAAAACGTTTCTAAAACGAAATATTCAAGAATCTACGATAAAATAAACGATCTATTATTTTCATCCAAATAGAAAATACTATAAAAATCTATCCAAACCCTGGTAAGCTACCAAATGTTTCGTAAATATTACTGTTGATAATACTGTTTTGTAATATTTAAATATTTGTAAAGGTAAAATTTTGTTTAATTATATTAACCAAACATTTAATTGGTATTATTTCACTGAACATTTGATAGTTATTAACTAAACTCTTTTTCCAGTGCAGTCGCATAAACATACCTCGTATATACAATAACAAAATCTTTCTATAACTTTCACCTCCAATTCTTTCTCTTTTTCCAAAATTTATTTCTTGTGAATACTCATTAAGGATATGTGTATTCGTAAGATTTTAATTATTTTTTATCTTCTTTATAATGATTTATATTATAATAATAGATGATCGAGTCGCGCGCATGCAATTTCTCTACCACTCTGACTACGCCTATAATGTATACATTTCTAATTTTGTACCCAGATAGTACAGAAATATTTATAATAAATATTTATTATAAATTTTTTTAAAATATTATTTAAATATTTTATATATATTTTATATATATATATATATATAAAAGCTTTATTTTTAAATATTATTAAAATATATCATAGACTAAATATTTTGTAAATATTTTATAAATATTGTGTGTTGTCTGTGAATACTATTATATATGCATCTTTATCTGCAGGATAGGACCTAAAGATCTAAACCATTAAAATAACATCAAAATAACTCCAAATAATTATTAAAAGTCATTTTTCGATCAGCCATAATTAATTTTGATGTTAAAATAACGTTATCCTATATTAATTGTTTTGCTTGGGAAAGAATCGTATATTATTTATTATTATTGTAGATCCTCGAATATTTCGTTATTGCGTATTTCGCTAGAAACTTTTTGTCTAAAGCAAAAGAATTCGTAGAAAATCGTACTCGTTTGGTCCTGCGTTTAATAGAGCACTCTAAAGAGCGGATAATACAGTTTAAGCTCTCTCTTAGTATGATTCTTAATTAATTACGTAACAACATATGCACGTGCGAAAGGCAACATGAAACGATCGAAACCGCGATGCTAATTAACATTATTCAATATTGCCAAAGACGCGGTCGGATGGAAAGTTATATATAGAGACGTTTCGCAGTCTCTCTTATGCGAATTTAGTAAATAATATCTGATTTCGCGTTACCGCTAAATTTGACCGCAAGTTACAAAATTGATACTTAATTAACAGAAATCGCAGAAATTTCTTGGCGAATCCGAGCTGCTGTGATGAATCGTCTGGTATTTTAGCATCCTGTATATTTTGCATCCTTTAACTTAATCAAACTCGAAATATAAGTTGAGAAGCGGATTGTCGGAGCAATCGAGTGAAAGTAGGTCTCGTAGTCTATTCGAGAGAGACCGAAAATCTCGTTAACTCCTTGCCTACTTTTTCGACGTTAATCATCACTTTATTATTTTATCGAAATATCGCTTTAAAAAAAAAAACAGAAAAAAGAAAAATCGCAGAAGAAATTACAGTTTTCTGAACGAATAGTGAACGTCGTCCGCAAAATCGTTAAGTGAGTACATTAATTCAGTTAAGACGAAATTGACTTTTAATCGATTTTGATAACTACATTTAAAAATAATTAGATTTTTCCTAAATAAAAATGAAAAATGGAAGTTGCAATTGAAAAATGACGCTTATTTATTTTTTACTTATTTGTTTAACATAATTTTATATAATATAATCAATTTTAAGTTTTGTCTCTCATAATTTTTATAATTAATATAATATATTAATTAATATATTAATTAAATTAATATTAAAAAATATTAATATAATATTAAAAATTATAATTAATTCACATCTCGATAAATGTAATTAAAACAAAATAATTTTTTTATATTTCCATATCAAAATCACGATCAAAGTCGACTCGTATAATCGACTGAATTTTTATACACTGAATTCCTGCATGACACTTAACTTCTTAACTTTATAATAATTCTGAGAAGAAAAAAGTAGGACAACAGAGGTGGGAGACAAGTGCGATGTACGATTGAATTAAATAAGTATTAATTTAATCACATATAATTACAATCACACATATTTGCGATACATACTGCCGGGCTCTACTACGATCAATAATTTGTCATATGTTGAAAAAGAGCTTAAGTCAACTTAACTAAAAAAAAGTGCGCCATTACCGATTATCATTGGAAGATACATCATTGAAAAGTGTTTAAACTTATCAAACGCTTTATTTGTGCGAAATATAATAGAACAATCACGAAACAATATACAAAAATGATTTAATCTTTTAATATATTTTTATCCTAACTTTTAATATGTTATTATTTTTTTTCTTCGTGAGACATTCATTATATTTTTTGTCAAGTCTTCTTAGGTATTTAATGTACAGGCATTTGCAAAATTATTCTGTTTATCGTAGATTTTCGTATAAGTAAACTATACGTTCGAGGGTTGAGCAGCTAAAAGAACTTAGGGAAAATTAAAAAAAGAAAAAGAATCGGGATAGATTAAGATATGAGATTACAAGTCGAGTGTATAGAATGAGTGCATTTGGAAAGCTTTCATTGTGCTCGTAGTTTGCAAAGACGCGGCCTGAATTTATATACAATTAACTTATAATCTGGATTAACAGGATCGGATCACGTTAGGTGGTGAGCGGAATCGCGGTATGGCCTCGTCGTAATGGGCACAAAATGTTGCACAGTTCTGTCGAACAATCCATAATCGAATCAAATAAAAAGAGATGCGTCCGCAACGGTCTGATTGCTATTATTTACACGACAATATATCCTTTGCTCGAAGAAATACTGTAAAATAGCGCGACTGATCGTTCCGTTGTATTACATATAAGCAGATAGCTTAGTACTCGTATATCAATAAAAAAAATTATTTCGCATGTTTACTTTGTGTTGCACTAAAAGTCAGTTGGTCTATCTTTTCATCGCTTTTAAAAAATATATGTTCGCTGCACCTGATTCTCGTAGGTCAAACTGATTTTAAAATGAATCTGCGACTAGTCAAAAAGTGTAACTTTTAATATAATTATTCCCAAGAAACACATTCGGAAAGAAAGTCAAAATGATTTTATTTTGATGTCATGAAAATCAAAATGATGAATCCTTTTATTACAAAATTTGATTGTTTATTAAAAATCAAAATAAAGTCATTTCAATTTTTTATATTATTGTATGTTAATTTTATAGTGTACTTCTTAAGTTGGATTTTGTAGGAATTTTGATGGTGTTTTGTGTGACGTCATGATGATGTTAAAGTAAACCACCAAAATACTTTTTGTTTCGCTTGAGTCTCGTCGAGGAGGCTACACCGCAATGTTCGCTCCAGAGATGAAGTGGCTTTTTGCTTTCGTGTCGGTTTTAGGGCTTCGGCGTCTCCGGCTGTGCTTTCGCCGCCTCCTCTTCGCTCGGCGGTGGCAGGGTCGGAATTTCCGGATACTCGAGTTTGGCACCGTCCTCGCACTCAAAGATCGGACAGCAGTCAGGGAAACTTGCGGTTTTGTTGGTCTTTTCGGAGAGCTTGCACTTAGGATTTGACTTGGGCAATGGGCCGCAGTCTTCCACTAACTCAAAGAGACGCCCGGAATTGTCGTCAGCAGGTACGCAGGTAGAACGACCGCAGAATGGCGATAGCTCCCATGACTTCGTTGGTTCGATAGTCGCACACTTGGTCGACGCGAAACACATTCCAGGGAAGTCTATAACATGATACATAGTTTTCATCAGAACAAGTAAAGTTGCGTAAAATCCTGACAAAAGAAGAGTAAAAAAAAAAGAAAGCTTCCAAGATTGTTTAATTAACGAGTGGTGAGGCATCTACAAGAGGCCACCTAACATAGTTACATCAAAAAGAATAAACAAAATGGATAATTTTTTTTAAATAAGTAACTATACGTGTTTTTTCTTTACACCGACTGATCCGTCTCATTATTCTGTTCATAAAAGTATTAAGGTACGATGATCAAAAAATTAATAGTTTATGAGATATATTTAATATGTCAACATAATATGTCAAAATAAACAATGAAGTATAAAATATCTCGTAAACTATTGGTTTTTTTTTTATCGCATGTATCTTCATACTTTTATATTAGGTATACAAATTAATTCTCGGCCTTTTTTGACCAACTTTGACATTTGTTTGTCTGCCCAGCTGTTTTAGGCGATATAGGAAACGTTTTGTTGAGTTACTCCGAGCGTGTTTGCAAATTCTAATTGCGTTTGGCAAGAATTCTCGTGCAAAATATTCTTCCAACTCCGCGTCTTCCATTTTTTTTTTGGTTGACCAGGGCGTTTACGATCCTCAAGATCGAAATTTCCCTCTCGAAACTGTTGGAACCAATTTTTACACGTACTGTACGATATAGTATTTTTTCCCAAAGCCGAACAAATCATTTCTTTTGCCTCAGCCGCGTTTTTTAAGTTGGAATGCAACTTTTTGCATTCCAACTTAAGAAGGCAGTGCCTCAAATGTTGCTTTTCGAACGATATCGTGTTTACTGCTGATTTTTCAGATTATATTCACAGGAGGATCAAGTATTATACCTCATTTTAAAGCTAAAAAATGGCACTTTAAAATAATTACAGAGGGGGAGAGGGGTTCAACTTAAACAAGTTCTGAGGTCGCTAAAAGGTAAGGGCCGAGAATTAATTTGTACACCTAATATATGCAGAATCATTAAAGGAATCATATTATGTAAAAAAAAGTTATGTAATTTAGAGATTAGAGATTACCATATAAATGAAATGCTTTGATGAAAGTAAAAATTGGAGCGTAAGTCGAATGTATAAGGAAAGAGTAACAGAAGCATAAATGAAACTTCTAATTTACACTTCTTTTACGTTTTGTTGTTCCAATTTACGTCTCCTAGAAATTTCGTTTACACTTCTGTTACTCTTTCCTTACATTCGACTTACGCTCCGATTTTTATTTTCATCAGAGTAGCTCTGATTGATATTTTACTTTTATATTCTTTACAGCTTTCTATTTTTCTTGATGAAAATTGGAGTAAAAGGCTATTCAAACCGCCGATTGGCTCGTCGAAGTCGAACAGTGAAATAAGACGGTGATCGCGTTTCCTTAATTAATAACACACTCGCTCGCCCGTATTAAATCGTTACCTCGATCGTCACGCGCAATTCCGCAAAAGTGTCGTTACTTTCTAACGCACTGTACGCGCCGGACCTAATCGGCATTAATTTATTCGCCGCACAATGTTGGTGCTCGTTAATTATCCTGGCCTGAATATCCGGGCAGATGAAAGAATTAATGCTAGAGAGTAGACGTATTTTTTGCGTTATACATCGCGATGCACATCACGGTGAAATTAGAGACGTCGAACCATGCTTGGGCGTAACCAAGATTTTAGACTTTTAAAAAGGAAAACGCAATCAATAAAACATTATCGCGACAAAACAATATGCTTTGGTCAAAGATCTCTGCTTTGATTTTTTAATTATTTTATATTTATTATATTCTTTTTTATTTTGCATAATATTATCTTTTGTTCTTCTTTAAATCAAGTATAACTAATAATATGACCAGGTATTTTCAGATTTAAAGCGGGACAATTTTATGATGAGGGAAAGAATTTATATAGATATACCTAAAGATATATAAAAACATCAACAATTTATTTTTAAAAAATAGTACAATTTTGTTATATTTTAATAAATTTAGCGGAATAGTCTCGTTGTCTTTGCAAGATGAAAATTACAAAAGAGAGAGAGTGAAACAAATTCAGTAATTTTATTGATCAACACCTAGTAAATTTGCTCACTTTTGTTATTTTCACTTCATCAAGATACACAATCAATCCGCTGTCGCATCAAGTACCTATCCCAGTGAGAAATGACAATGGAATCGACGTCGAATCGACATCAATTCGATGTCGATTTCCTTATCATTTCTCACTAGATATAGTCATTTGGAAATAATCTTCTCGCATCGGCGAACGCTTTAGGATATCGGCGTTTGCATCATTATCTCTATTGTAAACTCAACAACGAACGCAACACACCCGCGTTGGGTTCGGCATCCTATTTCCGAGCTAGTCTGTATTTGCAACAATATATAATGACAGTCGCAAATTTCACTTCCTCGACACGGGGCCATACAACGACGACGACGACGACGACGATGAACGAGACGGATGACGACATTGCGGGACTAATTCGAGTTGCAACTGGCGATGATGACGAACATCGCCTAGATACCCATCTACGGGCGGTATTCATAGTCTGTTCTTATTTTAAGACCATTTTAAGATGCTGATATAGCCCTCTGATTAGCTTATTATGATCTCTTAAGACTGTACTTAAGCGACATTCTCAAATATAAGAATCAAACTATGGATACCGGCTTACGATGATTGGAACACACCGGTGTTCGCGTCGTCGTCATCGTCGGCGGCAACGGTGGTCGTGCTAGAAACTCCAAGGAGAAACACTTTCACTGTCACACACCGGGTCGGTTGGTTGCACGCCGCTTTTACGCAACGCGTCGACGACAAATGTTGGACGTCGTTACGACGGACGTCGCGCGTTGATTTTACGGCTCGCGGTTACATCAGCTCTTCTGTCTCGCTATGACTCACGAGACCGTTTCACCCGAGTCGTCGAAACGAGAATCTTCGGGAAATTCCAGATCGATTCTTCGATTAAAACTGAAGAAATTTGAAAAATGAGGAGGAAACCAATCAGAATAATTATTAATAATTTTATCAAAGAATAATATTATTTACGATACTCGATAATTATTTGCGATAATCAATAAATTATCTAAGATAAATCATATTAACTCATAAAGTCAATAAAAAAATTATTGTAATAAAAAATAATTACTTTTTGATCAAAATTATCAGATAAAATTACCCTGATTGTTTCTTACTGTTTCCTTTTGATAATTTTTAATTTATCGATTATCTACGATAATTTATCGGTATTTATAAGTCAATTTGAATTGTTTTTTTATGAGTCACATAACCGGAATCTTTCTAATATTTTATATTTATATATAATATCCGTGTAGCAGATAAGATCGAATAGAGGATTATACGCCGCATCTTACATTGACGTCAGATTGTCTAGTCGTATAATCTCGAGCGTGTTGTTCATATCAAACAATGACGTGTTCGTTACCGTTTTCTCAATGCCGACCTAAGCCGCGATGTGATCGACGTTTATAGCACCGCTAATGTCTTTGCGGTTTTCTTGTTTTGCCGGGGGGTCGCTATAAAATAGTAAATAAGGACACTTATTAAAGACACAAGAGACTCGAGTAGAAATTACGATCTTTATGTCGCGTCGATTCAATCAGAAGAGCATGGATCTCATATTTCAAATTGGAGAGAAAGTAGAATAATTATAACTAAATTTCGAGACGAGGAATTTGAATTGAAGATCAAAGACGTTATACCTTTTTAATGTTATATTCCATTATAATTTACATTATAATTCACACATACACGTTTACCTTTTATACTTTATCATATTATTGCTATCGTTTCTTTCAGTTATTTGCAAAGATCAAAGAATTTCCTCACTTCGTTAGAAAATAAATTGTATCTAAAAATCTGTATCTACGAGTAAGTGTCCAAAAATTTAGTTGAAAATAATTTTGTTTAATCATCAAAATAAATATGTATTATAGAACACTTAAACGTTAATGCTGCAAAAAGTTTTAACATTCTAGCCATAACTAGTTTCAGAATCCTACATAAATATTTTGATGATAAACAAAATTAATTTTATATTTGTATCTAACTACTTCAGCAAAACCGTCCCTTCTGTGCAAAATGCTAAAATATAAATTGAAGTATAAAACTCAAATATCGTTAACCGATAATTGCCAAAAGACCTATTAAAAGGAGAAACGAGGAAAATATGGCAAACTTTCACTTGCAAGAGGCAACCAATATATGACTCTCGTTAAAAATTTGAAATTCATTGCGCGAGCATTGTTTTGTTTAAAATGTGGAACTAGAATTATGACTGCGATAATATATCACTGACTTTTTTTCTGGACTACAAAAACATAGGCATTTATTTTATTAGGAAAAATATTCTATATCCCTTTTGAACGAAACTGTCTAAGCCTTCAAGAAGTTCCAGTCGGGAAGTAACAATATATTATCACAATACATTGTGTGATGTAACAATAAGAATGCATTGTATCACTAATCTGGAAAGTCTTAGGGCCAATTTCACCAACGTCGGTTAAGCTAACCGTCGGTTAAAGTGTCAACCGTGATTGGTTCATTCTGGTCAAAGACATTTGCGATTGGATAATTCCATTGGAATTAACCGTCGGTTAGCTTAACCGACGTTGGTGAAAATCCTTACAGTCAAGGATGTTTCTTTTCCTTTGATTTTATACGTTTGATCTCGCCCGCACTTTCATCGTATTGGTAGTCATTTCTGATCCGGGTGCCACTTTCTTAAAGTGCGCTTCTCGCTTTCCAATAGCAAGAATACTTTGCAAGATACAAGTCATCATAATTTCGAAAAAAAAAAAGTAACACCCATGTATATATACAATAAAACTAAGTGATATGTATCTTTGCATTCTCATTGAAGGATCTTTTTATAACAATAATAATAATAACTTTATTGAGATGCAGTTACAATAAAGAAATTACATAAAAACATTGATATTTATCTACTTAACATTACGAAATGCATGCTATTATTACAAAATTAACTTTAAAAAGAAAGTAAAAATAACATCAAGTTCTTAAAGAAAAAAACTGCTGTGTGTGTGTATCAAAAATTAAATCAATTAGAAAAGCTCAAGTAGTACTATCTTTAAACTTTTTCCAACAATAAGATCTAAATGGTACATACTCTTTATTCTAATCCAAGTGGCAGCTTTAAAAAGAATAAATTCGACTTTCTAAACTTTTAGAGTTATAATCTCATTCTCTAAAGAGTGAAATCTCAGTCTTAAAGATTAAAATCTTAAACACTCTTTTTAAGACTAACTTAATTTTCCCTCTTTAAAAAAAGATTTCTCTCTAAAAAATTTAAAGAGCAAGTTGTGTTATTAATCTTTTTTTTTTATCCAACAATAGCATTATAGAATAAATGTATTCTAAAAACATATAAAAGATCCTTTGATATTTCTTCATTCAAGGTAAAAAGAGGTCGAAAGAACTGGCGAGCATTGTTCGTTTATGCGCATAAGGTGCTAAGTATTGTTTGTATATCGCGTCAAGAGTTTCCGCGAGCCTGTCGCGTATTCGAGGCCTTCGTCTCGTGTATATGTATATCTTCGACCTTCCGCGAGACGGCAAATAAATAATTCCATTCTTCCCGTAAGCTTCCACGCCCGTATTTATGCGATCTCCTGCCTTCGCTACAATTCGAGCAACGAGGTCGCTCGTAATTCCCTCCTCGTCACTACTTCGTGACTAATTCGATTATTCATGGAAATTCAGGTCTGTGCCGACAAATAAGAAAGAACGCGGCCATGGGTAATTAAAGACCAGTAGCAATCGTCGCTTTTACGCGAATATCAAGGATTTTCTCTCAGGAAGGCATTCAAATTGATCTATCGCCCGCTTTTAACGCGATTTTATCGGAAAATGTATATATACGTTTTGCAGGATCTCAACATGTCACGATAGCGATTAGCATTGAATGGAACGAGAAGAAAAATGCCGCTTGTACTACACTGTGTCAGTCTTTAATCAGTCGAGCCATAATTGGTGAGGTTTCTATTTATTTTTTTAAACGTTACATATAATTCTCAAAATAAATCTGTGTTAACTCTTCTGTTCGATTTATTGTTATACAATTATATCATTTGAGTCAATATTGAAAAGATTTTATTATATTAACAGAGAAAGTCACCAAAAATATCAAACAACAAAGTTTTTAACAAATATATTAAAAACTTACTAAAAAAACAAGCAAATAAATTGTTATAAGAATAATGAAGGTGTTGAAAAACAAATATTTTATGAGTATAAAATACCATTATTTCAGAATCTGATCAGTTATATAAGAAATATCATATTAAATAAAGAAATAGAAACTTGCAAGTTTTAATATTAAATGAGAAGAAGAGAAAAATATACAATATATATATATATATATATATCAGAAAAATTAAACTATAATTTGAATAAATGAACGAACAAAGTAACAAGATTGAATATATAAAACGTCCCAAAGATACAATGTAAAATTAACTTTAATCCCGATTTAACTTATATTTTCTATCCTTTCTTAATAGAATTATGTAGAAAAAATGAAGAGAGTTAGTTAAATCAGGATTAAAATTAAACTGCAATAGAAACGGGCATAAAAGCAACAGAGGTTTCGTAACGAAATCTTGTTAACTTATCGAGAGGAGAAACGCATCACTGCACCCTGTGGACCGTATAAAGAAGAAAGTGATATCGGGAAAGAGAGAAGGAACGGAAAGAGAAGAGGGGACACTGCCGGCAAAGGGGATTATAAGATGATGGTTACAGCACGAAACTTTCACGCAGTCTCGTGATCTTGACGCCACGAGTGGAGCAGAGTTCGCTATTTTTCTTGACTTCTCCGTGCAGGGGATCTCATCGTGCACGATACAGCATCTTGCGTCCCTGTGAATCTCTGATTCACTGCAGGGACCGTGTTCGCGTTACAAGATAATGAGCAAGTCGATGCAAAAAGACGTCCGGCGTTATTTATCAGGGTCGATTCATGCATGGATAAACACCTGGGATATGATATGTTGAGACGTGATAATTATGGAGCGAGAAAGAAGCCATCAAGGTCGGCACGAGAAACGGAAGTGTAGGCGAGGACAAGATTAACTCTCTGTCGTGGTGGCTCCATAGCGATTTAATGAATATTAATTCTCGCGACTTCTCATGATTCAACTGTGGATTTTTCACGTAGAATTGAATTTTTTTATTTAATTATTCTCTAAGCAAAATTAAGTTTGAAGTAACAGAATTGAAAATGGAAAATATTTTATTTTTCAGAATGAATAAGAGCAGCAATGCAACATAGAATCGATTTAGAAACGAAATAATTTTCTTTTTTACATTCTAGAGAGATTCTTTTTGTACATGAAATATTATCAAGTATTCTTACATATTTTTTTTAAATGTAGGGCTAAATAATGATTTTTTTAAATGACCGATTTGTCATTTTGAACACAAATCGCTTCTGCCGCGGATGACATTCGTGACACTATGGTACGTTATTGGAATTCTGAGACAGCTGTTTAATACGCGTGACTGGGCATCATAAGAAAGCCAAATGCCAAGCCTTCCAAGCAGCGGTTGAAAATAATGACAATCGTCCCACTTGTCGGTCATGTACATACAGTTCTTTGAATTCGGCCAGACACCTATAATTCAGTGATTCTCAACCAAGTTTTCACGCTTTTACTTCTCGCGTAGATCTACTTGTAAATCTTAATAAAATTAACCGTTTACATTTATGAATATCATATTACTTGACAAAACAAAAACGCTACTTTTCTCGACAAAATTACGTTTTTCTAAAATCAATATTTTATCTTAATCTTTATATTTTATCTTTGTAGTCTAATTTAAAAACGCGTTAACAAGCATAATAAGTTTTGAGTAGAATTTAAGTTTTATTTTATAAACAAAGATTTATTTTATAAACAAAGATTTATTTTATAAACACCAAAAAATTATTTCAGAGAACATATTTTACAATTTAAAATTTACCCACACATTGAATGATGATGAAACTAATTAATATATTTTTACGATCTCTTGCTATTTGAAAGGTGATATCTCTTCTTCAGCAACCAATTAGCATACAATTATTACGCTAATAGCTGACACATAAGAATAGCCAGTCTCTGCTGTCAGATATATTACTTCTTTTTATCTTGTGTGATAATATCAAGAGGTATTAGCATCATGTTACAAAGATAAAGATTCATTGCAGCGAGATGCAACGTGATAAAAATATTCTTTCATGAAAAGAAATATTCTTTATCTGTCATCAAATTGTCATATAACTGTCAAGTGCCGACTATACTGGTACCCACAATCAAATATTAAAATAAGACTTTTTTTACTGCCCTTTTTTATTTATTCAGCGACCTTAATTAAACAGTAGTGGAAAAATTTTTTTAATGAAAGTAGGAGAAGACAAATCCGCAAATCTCTTAAATCGCGAACTTGCCACGCGGAGCAAAAAATTCACCCTCGGGAAGGGTTGAATTGAGTTAACTCACCGCGGAGAACATCGGCAGGTATCAATCTTCGGAAGGTTTTTGGTCTTTCCTGAGCATCCTCGGAGGCGACGAAGGCCACCGCGACGCACAACAGGGCGAGTCTGAAGACGAGCTTCATGGTTTCGAGCCGAGCGATAGATAGATTCACAGGGAGACCCTCCTTCGAGATGGGAGGAATCAAAGTGAAGAGGATTAGAAAAATGGAGCTTCTTGTATCGATTACGACTGGTTGGGCCCGATCCTCGTGGCGGCATTTTATAGCCGGCCATCGGGCGCGGTCCCTGTTATCCCCTCCAGGATCAGACGTGGTCTCTCACCTCTTGAACCACCAGTCACCGAAGCATCGTTCGCGACCGGGGCTCGGAGTGACGTCCGCGGATACACCACCGCGGGGTCCACGCAGCAAGTAGGTAGGGATGCGTAAACTCATGGGGGACCGACGTGACCACTGACTTCGATCGCGCTATGGTGGTAAATATCAAATTATTCTTACACTATGGGTCGTACTTCATCCTGGTGCAAGATTCCTTTGACCTGGGAGAAAAATTTCTGATCATTAACGAGGATATCGCGACGTCGATGATATTTGACTTACAACAGTGTTATCCAAGATTTCTAATTCTGAGCACTGACTTGATGACGTGTGCCAAAGTTCGCGTCTATCGCTTCCCTTTTTCTTTCTTCATTAAGAAAATAAAAGGCAACAGGTATGATCGTTGATATCTCATCAAGACAATGCCTACAATTGGACAAATTAATTTACAAAATCAAGAAGAAAGGGTTCCTTCGCAAACTGATCTTCGTGCAGAGCCAAACGGTTGATAATAAAACTGCGTCCTTCAACTAATTTTTAACGAAATTATATTAATAGGGTTTTAATTTGACAGATATAAGGACGCAGGAAATTAGAGGATTGTAATAGATGATGAGTAACCTCGATATTTCCGCTGAGGAAAAGTTGGCCCCAAATTGGCCGGAGAATCTGTCATTAAGAGAACGTCTGTTTGATGGTTTTGAGGTATCCTTGAGACAATGTAATATGCTGATACGCGTACAGGAAGAATTTTATTTTTAGAAAGGTTTCTTTTATGATGTCGAGTTATAATACGTCGTTAATATACGTATTGAGTTAATATCTCATTATTGCCAGCTATAAAATGTAAAAAATTATTTTAAGTTACTTTCGCTTATCAAGTGCTTTCAAGAATGGACTAAAATATATTTATAAAGTTCATTGCTTCCTCACTTCATAAGTATAATGGTTCAGGTACCACGGTTAATTTATAGACGTGAGTTAATAAGGCATGCAGCAAGATTAATTGACAGACAACTATTTATTATCTTGTACTGTAATCTCGAAATTGCTGCAAATGTATTTTCAGAGATTAGAAACGGTCGTTAACTTTCATCCATTCATTAGTAAATCTCGACGCGAGCACTTTTAAAACGCGACAATACGTGGTGTTTGTAAAAAATTCTCATTTATTCTAAATTAATATAATTTTAAATCAGAGGTATCGAATCGTGACAGTGATGTAAAGAAATGACGTGATGTAAAAAAAATGCCTTGATTTTAGACACTATGACACGTGAAAGAATAATTGCACGTCTGATTAAATATATATTGTTTTGTTATTTGGCTAAAGATTAACGCGTCAATTCCACACAGTGAAACAAATTGTAATTTAATTAACACCCTGTATATCAGGATGCGTGTTTGTGCGTTGCGGTTCCATGCGTGCTTCGTGCTGCACGCAAGATGACTAGTTGTCACGTAGGATAATAGCGTGGAAAATCTACACCGCTCGTTTTCAGCAGTTACAGGAGCTGAAAAGCAGTAATACACGTTGAACTATCAATATGACAAAATTATAATAAAATGCCGTTGTCTGTAACGTAATTTGGATCCTCGCACGTTGACGAGGAAGAAAGGCATGTCGCCGTGGATACAGTTTTACGAAACCTGAGTAAGGAAAAGAGAGACTCTAGGAGAATTTTACTTGCTAAACAAGATTCTTTCTCCAAATGTTCATAAATTTAATCGGAATTTAAATTCCGCTGCCCACTTAATATCAATTTAGATCGAAATTTATGGCGATGAATAATTTACGAAGCGGACGCAATTATACAATAATGGATCCAGTTCGAAAAAAACTGGTATTGCAACTGTGAGCTTTTTAAAAGAATGCTACAGTCACAAATAGCCCGATATTAGCACATCTCGCAATTTAATTATTCTCTATTTTTATTCCGACGAATTACAGAACGGCGTTTTATCGATATATATCTTCTCGACTTCTTGGCTGGCGGTTTTGTGTAACATCACACGAATTCTTCCCTTGAGAAGCAATTAGGCAACAGCCCGTCGATACACACAAATCCCGAAGCGTCATTAATACAAGCTTCTCGGAAGAAATTAACATAATCATTATTAGTAACCATGAGCGTTAGGAAAGCCGCAGCGGGTAGCTGATTCACTTCAGCGTGAAGGAGTTGCTTAAAGGCGCGACCCGTTTGTATAATATAATTCGTATGTTTTGTAAGTAACACCGATTAAGCGCGGAAACGCATGTTGAGCAATATCGCGCGCGTGTGTTGCATAATATTGTATTATCCCCATCGCGCGTGAGATCGAATCTCTCAACGTATATATGATTCTTTCATTCGAATGCTGATTTAATGCTGCGCTGTATGGAATATCCTGTAAAGAAAATGTGTGATACAAGTAGCGTAAGTATCAATTAAGGATGTGTGGGCCACATCTCAAAACATTACCAAAAATATAAAAAAATACTAAATATTTGTGCAAAAGTATATTTGGATCATTTAGAAGTCATCGACCTCAAACTGCAGAAAAATGGTCTACTGCGTAATGATAAGCCAAATTGTTTGTCAATTTGTCTTTGGCATTGTTTAAATAAACATCTTTAATAGAATTAATCTAGGAAAATAATATAACTATATGTGTTTCTCTCCTTGAAAATCTTATTATGTTTATTGTATATTGATGACTGCGTTCAGTATATCATGTAGAGAAAGCAGCAACTCGAATCTCTCTGCAACTGTTGTAAAATTCGTTAACATGATTTTGCTCTGCTTAGTTCCTCACAGAACTTAAAATGTATAAATCATGTTGAAAAATTTTACAATAGTTGTAAAGCTGCTTTCTCTGCTAAACGTAGCCAATAAGAGGGGTTGGTATATTTGAAGATCAAAGATTTTATCATAATAAAGAATCAAAGTTAAATTTAGCAGTTTATACAATACAATAATTTATATAACATTATAGTACTATTTTTACTTAATTTTCCATCTTAATCGCTTTTCTAATTTGATTTTTTGAAATTTGGCTTTGAAAAATAGCCTTCTGCAGACGCTGGATATGATTGGAGGGGAAAGCAGATTATATATGGTATAGAAACGTTTACTAATAAACCTTCACCACCTGATTGTCGGCTTCAAAGACTGTCGAACGAAGTGGAAGCTGAGGAGATGTCTTTTTCTAATTGCAGATGCTTTAATCGACTGGCGATATCATCGCGTGATGCCATTCTTGATTTCCTAATCTTAACCGATTACAATCTAATCTCGATCTTTTGATTGAATCCCTGTATAATGATTCTGGACAACTGTGGTTGTAATCAGTCAATTCTCTCATTATAGACGCGGATAATCCCGGCAGTAAAATATTGGCATCGACAGTAATGGCCTCAAGGCCTCAAGATCAATCTCAGTCTTCGCCGTAACCTCGACCTTCGCCGACGCTTCCGTCTTTGCTCTGATCTCGATGTCCGCGTGAACGTCATCGTGCACAATTCCGCTCGCGCTCCGCCTTTGCTTCTCTTTTGACTTTTGGCTTGACTGTTGAGAAAAAGTTGTTGGTAGCGGAAGGAACAACTGGAGCGATCACTCCAGGCCGAGAGACACGCAGTTCTCCAATATCGCTAATATTTGTTTAACAATTCGAAGAGAACTTGGACAAAGAAGTCAACGAGATTTTATATACTAAAATTTAAAAAAATGTTCTACATTTGTTCTCTTTTTCTCCTTCTCATTAAAATAAAAATTAATTTTTATGAATTTAATTATACTCAGTATTAAAAGTAGGAATTGTTAAAATTATTTCCATCGCAAGTATTCGCCTAATTATAAAAATCAATTCCATCTAACTTTTGTTTAAAAAATGGAATCTTTACATCGCAGATAGATATTGTCGTGTATCCAACGATCGAGAGATAACGAAAAAGATAAATTATTGCAAGTCTAGCAAGGAAATCTGTATATAGCAAACCGCACTCGAATCCGTGCCGGATGTGATGTAATTGTTGCGAAGCCGACGACTCAATTGGGGCGATATTGTGTGCTGAGATTGCGGGACAACGGCCTCGCTGTAGACTGGGTACGGCCGCGGGTAACATAAAACGGCCAACGCCTTCCGTAATTTGGGATCTGCGCCCAAATTGGAGAAAGTTTCTCGTGCCGATTGTCGCACGCGAGGATCATATTGCACGTTATTTACTTTGCTTTTATCGCATTTTTGTCAACAAGGAATAACAATCAGGAGAAATCACGCGATACACATGGAAAATAAAAAAAATATTTATATCCGCAGACAGAGACGTAATCCTGTAATATAATCATCAATCTAAGAAATTTCTAGATCTAGAAGAATTGTGATGGTAGTGGCCTTTATTAATATTTTTTATTACAATCTAGCTCTAATATGGATTATATGGGATATAACTTCCTCAATTACATCACGCACACAGTACCACCACATTTAACGTATGTTATACATTTGAGATAATTGTAGAAAATAAATCGCAGGGAAACACTCTTTGACGGAAGAAACTCGAATGTTGTTGCTCGGTATAATTAATTGGAAATCCGGCTTACGTAAGGCTATTTAAGAATTATATTCGTTATATCGCGCGTTTGTAAGTCATAAAATATAGGGCAAAAGGAAGATCAAAGCGTGTGTAGAAGTTTCAGGAATGAGTAAATTATAAGATATAAAATAATCATTATATAGTCAAAATATAGTGAAAATATATCATTATATAGTCAAGTATATAAAGATTCGTAATGCTCAAATTTTCATTTATACTTGCTGCTGTAGAATTACACAGTTATATTCTCGCTAATAACATAAGAGTAACTGTAGTCGAAAATATTTGAATTTCTTTGTAGCTGAATATTTAAATATAATATATATATATAAGTCAACGAAATAAAGCGGTGTTCAAACAAACGGAATATCTTATCAATAACATCGTAAAAAATATCGAGTTTATAACTTGTAGAATTATTTCAAATTCAACGTTGAAATTTTATTTCATCTATCACAACTTTTTTATTTATTTACTTTATATATTCAGTATTAAATTTTATTTTATATCATTTTATTATTATTATATTATTTCTCTTATATATGTATATACACAGTATATATATTAAGTTCATCGTAGTCACACTCTCGCATGTAACTACGTTGGTTCCAACGTGAAAAGGTGAAAGCAGATTGTATGGGATAATCCGTGGAGAGAAGTCCTGTGTAACGAAAAAAAACCAGAACGTCAAGGATCTCTCAAGCATATTCTCTATGTATGACCAATCTGGAAAAACCTTGACACCGAATATGATAGACTAAGTCTTCGTTACAGGAACGCATCTATTGACGAATTCGACTATCGTTACGTAGTAACGTAAACATATTTGACTATGTGCTAATACTAATTGCTACATGTGTTGACATAGATTACCAAATTGTAAGTCGATATAGGAACTATTAAAAAAATCTGAGCAACTTTATAAATTTCATCATTCTATCGCGTAAACGTAACTATTAATCCATTATATTGTCTGGGCAAATCGAATAATATCAATTTGTTATTGTTACTACTCTTGTATCGAGGAGAAACTAAAGTAACACTGTATACGGTAAACGGCTATTTGTGGAAGATAGGCGAGAAAGTGACAGTGAACTTTTGAAACTTTCCACGTGAAAGTGCAAGTGAAGATGCTGCCTGGAAGGAAATTGAAGTTACAAGCTATTCGGTACACGATCAAAATTGAGATTTATAAAAAGCGAAGTTGTGATCAACTTTGACTTCCAAGAGATTCTTATACAAATATTAGGCTGATTACATTATGAAAAATTGACCAAGCCACGATGGAAATTTCCATGATAGAGATTGCCAGGATTTTCGATGCGCTTCGCCGTTTTTTCACAACGTATAAACGTGCTATAGGTCAATGCAACGATGCATAACGCGCTCATTGCAACAGCTTGCGATGAGGACCTGTCATCTATCCGGCCCAGTCAATTAAAGCCATGCCCATCCTCTTCCTGTTCACTTTCTGCTCGTCCGCTGCAACTTGACCCTTTGCGAACTCCTTTTTTTATATTTAGTAACATCTTATCGTTGATTAAAGTTACATATGTGATCATAATTCCTGCTCACAATGTAAATAAAAGGATATGTCGATTGCTGCAATATCAAAGCTTCACAAGTTATGATTTATTTCACCTCATACTTAATATTCTACGTATCCTAACTTTGCTGAATTCTCAGAAATTTAGAAATTAAATTTTAAGAAATACAATTCGAAGAAAGTTTTCATTTTTAATTTTTTTAAATTCTTAGAATTTTAAATTGTGTGCAATCTTTTTAATAATATTTATATTTATTTGAGTTTATTGATTTTTGAAATTTTTTATATCGAAAGTCACGAATGTTCTAATCAGAAATTTTTATTTTAGTGATTAAATTTGCGGTAAGCAAAAGTTACGTAATTTGCTGCCCTTGACACAGTTGTAGTCCTACCATTTTCCTATTGTTATCATGAGAAATTTCCCAAGTAATTATTGAAGTAAACGTGTGGATAATTGCATAGACAATCGGCGGGAAAAACGAAATCGATGCGTCTGAAAATAATGTTGGCGAGACGATAGAGTGTAGCCTTTAAATATGTACGAGGAAAGAGAACAATAAAGTATTTATGAGAAAAAATCTGTCATTACAAAAGACGGGATATAAATATTTATGTTTACATAAATAATTATTATAATATTAATATTTTAAATTAATTATTAGAAAACAATATGTACGAAATCACATTTTAATTATAAGCTAATCAAAGAAATGATTATGTCAGAAAAAGATAAAGTTTAAATTTAAAAACAGAATTCCAAAAATTTCATCAATCAAAATAATCATTTCATCTCGTCAAAGTTGACAAAGCTAATGGAAAATAGATGTTAAACGTACATTTGACTTTCGAGTATGCCATATCATACAATGATTTTTGAACGGTAAAATGACTACAAATGTTTAAATCATCTTTCAACTGAAGCATTTTTTCCACGTAATCTATTAAAAATTTAAATTCTAATTTTAATTAGGATACTAACTTGTTTTTTCACTTTCTCACTTTATAAAAAGAATTGGAAAATCTCAAAAAGGAAAAAAAGTATTACAAGTCAATGACAGAAAAAAAATCATAGAATTTATCAGAAAAAGATTAAATTTAAATTTAAAATTTGAAAAATTTCCCTGAAAACCAAAATAAAATTCCCTGAAAATTTCTTGGGAGAGGACACCCTTTACAGTTATATATTAAGAAAAAATTACCGAAAGATGATTATACACATTTCTCTAGTGTTTAAAAAGAAACGTTGTACAGTGTAAAGCGTTATACAACATAAAAAACGCACTCATTTTTTCATAGTAAAAATATACAACGTATGTTTCTTTCAAAAAACGTATATAAAAGAAAATTTAGATTCTTTGAATAGATGTTGACATGCATTTCAATGTTTTTTTTTTTTAAATTATCGTATTTTTTTTACGTAAAATACAGTAGTATCTCAAGTAACGCGATTTTTATCATAAAAATGATCAAGTTCATTATCTTCCTATTAAATTCAATTTTATTTTTCCTATTAAATTCTTTTTTTTTTTAATCAGGACGTTGATTCATCCTTCGTTTTTCTTTTTAAAAAGAAAAAAGAGAGAGAAGAAAGTGTTTTCGACAGCAATATTTTGATGAATAAAAATTCTGCTAACAAGTTATATTACATTTCACGTATAATTTAGCTAAGAGAAAATTTTATTTGTACTAATATTCCGCCATATTTTCTATATTTAAAAAATTAATTAATCATAAATCGAGCTAAAGTTATTCCGGAAAAGCGAATCGTTCTTGCCAAACTTGTGAGCGATGTTTACTCTTTAGAATTGGATCAAGAACAATCGCGATAGACTTTATACGTCCTTTGAATCTTTCATTGTCGCGCGCTATTTCTTCCCAGGGACCTCTTCGAGCTGCACGGTATGCATAATTCCACGTCACCATGACATGTACGACTGGAGTTGGGTCGAAGCTCACCTGAAACAGAATTTCGAATTTCAGTATTTTGTTCTAATATATGTAGATGTTTTATCTGGAAATACTATATCTAGGTTTAGACAAAGCACTTGTAGTGCAGGTAAAGCAAACTAAAATGAGTTAAAAAGTTCTGTACCATTTTGTAATTTTTGTAATCAATAACAAGAAATTAAAGTAAAAACTCGCAAAATAATGTTTTTAAAACTACACGTGTGAAAACGCTCTATACCAATGTTATATCAATATATTATATCTACAGTACTATTTTCCCCTATTTCATAATTTTCTTGTTTCTAAAACTATATAATTCAAGATGATATAAGCATTAGGACTTTGAATACCTTTTTCGTTTGCGTTGTTAATTTTTCATTATCTTCATCAGCAAAGACGATCGAGTCATCTAGCTGACTGTCTCCGTCGTGAAAGTTTGTCTCGTTACCGATGTCTTCAGTAGCAACGGAACTGGTATAAGTATAAATATGTTTAGAACTATTAGAATCTAGATTTTCGAAACAAATAAAGTCATCAGAACATTCAGAACTGTCTGATGGTAATCGGCGGTGTTGCTTTTGCATTTGTCTGTTATAATTCTTGGAGCGTTCGTCGTTCATCTTCGTTAAACAATCGTAACGCATTCTCGGGCATACCGTTTCTTTCTGCTGGTCTAAAGTTATAGAAATATAATTACTGTCTTCAGAATTGGTGGAACTTTCTGATAATGATCGCAAACGAACGGAAGCAATTTTGGAATCCTTACAAAAATTATCGTTCTTCCTCATCGAAGAATTGAAGATAGGTGTATAACGTATTTCGGTAGGAGAAGATGTTGCTGTTCTTTGTTTATTACATGATTCATGCAATTCGTCATCTCCAAAAACGACCCAATCTTCAAGATCAGTGGAGCTTTCCGATACTGTCCGCGATCGAATCGAATTTTTTTGTGCATCAGGTATTTTGTTATTACTATCTTTACAATAATTATAATTCAAAGAATTAGCTATACAACACACTTTGGTTATACATTTCCCTTTATTTCTCTTCTTCTTGCGCGCCTTCGGTTTTCTTTTCCTATGTGTACTTTTAGGAGAGCTCAATATCGCCGAGCTATTAATCTGTTTGGTGATCTGAGTGGAATCTGAAATATTCATGTTGTCTAAGCTATCAAGCTTCTTATTGTCTAACGGACAATCGTATGATGCTATTCTGCTCATAATCGCCATACTTAATGCGTTCCGTCCCGCATATAGTCTGGCCGAATCCAAAACAACTCAGCTGATGCTTCGCTCTACTACGACCTATGGTATATAAAAACAATCTTAGTTTATGAATCATATGAACAATGTTGAGGTCTTATAATTAAATTTAGATACCTAATACGAAAGATTAGTTAGATAATTCGTACATGTTTGTACGCAATATTTGAATAACACGTAATAGCATGTAGCGATATGTCAATGACAAATAAACAAATGATTTTAGGATCTCCTTAATACCTATACATGTATATATCTTATTTATTGTTTTTTCTCTACAAATTGTAGAGAAAATTGTTTTTTCTCTACAAAATGTTACAAGTATACAAATCAATTCTTTATTCTAATTTATTTATCTCCAACAGCCTTCTAAGTCCAATTAATAAAAGATCTTATCGATAAACAGTCCAATAAGCATTTGGATTTTTGAGGCTCGACTTATAAAAAAATTCTTATCTAAAAAGATCCTCATTATCTTTAACCAATTATAAAACGACAAACGTCCTTCAAGAAAAATGAGCCAATTGGCTGAGTGTTGGCATTAAGTGTTCAGGAGACATCGACAAGGATATTATTCGATAATTTTTTTTTCAACATATCTGTACTACTGACATGTACCGTGGTTCTCGAACAATGCTATATAGGGAAACACGTGGATCTTGATGACGCCTACGCATCTCGGCGAGCACGTTTCGGGCGCTGAATTGTAATCGCATTATTCAAGCGCATATAAATTTTAATGTATGACGTAGCATCAGTCATTGAGATACAGTCATCCGTGCACGCGTGTCACGTACACACTCTCAACTTACGTGATGTACAAGAGGCGACGTAGTGGCCTACTGGATTTACCACCCAATTGCAATCGCACGTGGATAAAGTGGGTCTTGTTCTATATCCAAAATAATCTGTACCGATTGCTGTGTCAATTCCAGTCGATTTCGCAAAGGCGAGGTTGTCTATCTCGAACGGGTACATCTTTAAAGAACACATGTTTACGGAATACTTCAAGCGGCCATTTTCAACTACAAAATGAGCGAGTACCCGTATTGTGGCGTGAAGTATCGTCTCCCAGCTGGGCTGAGCTGGGCGGCATGGAGAGGCGCGCACGCGCGGTGAAGCGCGCGAAGGCCTTCACCTCAGGCGCGTGTAATGAAAGGGTGCGTCTGCGCCCCTTTTCGTCCACTTGCATTTTGCTCCAGTATATTCCAAATATTTCCATTTATTTTTCATCTAAAAATGTCTTGGATAAAAGTTTCGAGAGAAGAACACAACGCTGCGATTTTTTATTCGATCGTCAAAGGATATCCCACCCTGACGACAAAAAGCTAGTGTCTAAAATCGAACCATAAGATGCCTTTTGCTAAAGACGTTATATAATTTTAGATTTATGTTGTTTGGGCATTTTAGTGGCATGTTCTAAATATCTTGCTGTTCTTATTTTAAAAAGAAATTATTAGATATACAAGATTAGATATAAAAGTCTCGAGGTTTTAAAAAGAAAAGGATAACAAATGTTTTTATATCAATCTCCCTCTCTATAACTGTTTGTTCTATTTTAATTGAGTGCGAGATGAATCGATTAAAGAAGAAAAGCAAGAAAAACGCAGTTGTTTAACAAAATACTGAGACTGCGGGCCCGATCGGCGCCTCATGTTTTGATGCGAGCCTATGAAAACGATCACGTGACCGTTCACATACGGGGAGAAATTCGAAATAAATTCCTGGTACTTGTGGAAAGCGTGATTTAAAATTTTTAATTTCTGTTGGTTGCAGGTATTTCTATCTGAGTTGTTACGATAAGAATTGACGGAGTCTTCGTTCGAAAGAACAATAAAAGTCAGACTTTTGTAATTTAAAATATTATAAATAAATTAAATGATATATGTGCAATCCCGAAGAATAAATGAAATTGAGCAAAAGGGAAATGGAAACGGTTTCCTAAAGTTTCAATGACGTGAATATACAACAATCAGTCCGATTTCGTAATTTTTGTGACAATCGCGCCTTAATATAATTTAACCATTTATTATTTATCTGGCCTAATAAAGGTCTCGGCGTCAAAAAATGATACGTCTAAAATATACATCGAGAAAACACGCAATAACATTTAAACGATATCCAATTAACGACTTAGTTAACTAGACACTAACAAAGGTAGATGACGAACGGATGTCGTCATCTGTTGTCATTATTGCTTCAATTGAATTTATTTCGCTAACAAATCAGATTTTAAATGAATGTCTATATAATTGTGGGCGCGGATTACAATATCGCGGGTCTGATTGAGTTGTCGCATTCCTGCATTGACTTCTCACTTTTTGCGCTTTTATCTGTAACAAATATGATCAACACCGAGAGACGTCCAAGTATAGATAACAGAATCGAGAGTGAAAAGTCAGTAAGAGGAAATGGTTCGACACAACACGTACACACATGTCAGAAGACTTTTTATATCCTTTCTCTCTTGATGTCTACTAATAGTAACAAAAGAAAGACTCGAACATTATTTTATAATGAAGAGTAGTGGTAGATATAATTTATTATTTTCTTTTCGATGTTTCGTAATATGAAGTTTTACTAGCGATAAAATTGTTTTCGAAGATAACGTCTGATTTATGTACCTGAACGATAAGCTACATATATTTAAGGAGGAAAGAATGCAGCGTACGTTGCATTATCTACATAGCGTTATTTGTTGTATGTAATTCAAACCAACACGTAGTGTCTTATGTCCCTTGCCTTTAGCGTGAACAGCATAGATTTTCATAGAAATAGCATAAAATATACACATTCCTGTATTTCAAATGAAACAATAGGAAGTATTCGGTGAAGCATATTCGAGAGAACACAAAAACGAGCTAGAGAGAAAACATGATAGGTCACAGCTTCAAAACTGAACAAACACGAAAGAATTTAACAACAAAAGCTAATAACATAGGACAAATACAATACAAATTGTAGATAAATAAAATTTTGATTATCGAAAGAAAAATATTACGATTAAATAATTTAAAAACTATACATATATTTCGAATTTTTATGCTTTTATAATTTACATTTCTGAATAACCGATTATTATTTAATTTTAAAACGTAATGTTATGTTATTTTCTAGTGTTAGCGTCTCCTAAAGCTGGAAATGAAGAATAATTCGATAAACACAGTAATAGTAATATAACATCAATTATTATATATGTTACAGTTATTGGTTGTTTACTGGATATTGGGTAAGATCGCGTTTCAAGTAATCGTTGATACGCAAAAGCGTAAGAACGAAATCTATAAAACCTGTAAAAATTTTTATCCTGCATAAAAGATTCTACGCGACAACCGAAAATATGTTCACGAATTAATTGATAAACTTATCAATGGACACTGATTCACTGAGTTGGAAAAATTCTAAAAATAATCAGTGTGTGTCACCGAGGTTTCCTATTTAGAAACAATTAGCTGATTCACGTATGCAACGTATGACGAAATTCTTGTCGAAACTGCGTCACGTGTATCAGTGAGATAAACAGGTACAACGAGCGAATAAATATCTAAATATATGCAGATATATATTATATAAATATAACACAAGTATATTCACTGCTCGCGAAAAGCGATCTAGCATAGATTTTGTTCTCTCGTTGTCGCTTTTTTCTTCCATAGTCGGGTTACTCAGGGTCATGAGTAACTTTCCAGCCCCTTCTCCTTCTCCGCCAGCTCTTGTCGCTATGCATCTCCTGCACACATGCATGATTAGTACTGTCAATGATTGTTATTTCGAGTAACGATATTACCGAACGTGTGCAAATCACATAGTGCGGGTCGATGGAAACATGTGAAATAATTGCGTCAGAAAACACGTGAACGGAAATCGGTAGAACTTTATGATAGTAAAATCGTAGTTGAAGCGTTACAACAAAAAGGCAAAATACAATTTCAGCTGCATATAGTAGTTACGCTACTATAGAAAAGGCGCTACATTGAATTTTACAGGACCAGGTAGCGATCATGTAACTCTTCCTAACAGCATGACATAGCATTTTTCACATAAAATGACTTTACTATTATTATTATTATTATTATTATAAGGAACAGAACAAAAGACGATATGTTAGTATTTTATTAAAGGATATTATTAAGAAAATAAATTACTATTTTTTTCTTTCACATGAGTATGCGTTGATAATTACAACGATTAATGTTAATAATTAATTTACAATGTAGATAAGCAAGTTTTGTGTCGTTCTTATGTTCGCAAAGATAGCGTTCTTTAGCGATTCGACTTCTCTTTTTCTAGGATTCTATTGCAAATATTGTACACTCCAACTTTTTGTCGTGTGTCGGACAAGAAACAGAAATAAATTTATACATAATTCTTCTATTTTTTTACATTCACATATCCAATGTAATAATACAAGACTATCGAAAGATAGAAAAATGTTCAAAGGTATTGGAGTCCAATACCAAATTGAAATTGCTGGAGCACATCGCTCCTCATGAACAACAATGGTGTAACTAAGTTCAATTCTATACGGGCAATGTTCCCCAGCTTCATTGCGATGCCTCCGCCCATAGCGCAACGAACATTCTCCGTGAAAATCTTCATGTTTTCATCGTACAAATTATCTGAAAAAAAAAATGAACACGCATATAATTAATTTATATTAATCAACTTTATTCGAATTTTAAATTATAACAAAATTAAGAAATATACTTCGTAAACAAAAACTATATTGAGATCGGATATAAAAATGAAAAAAAAAAATAATTATTTAGAAAACACTTAATCATGTAATTATCAACAAATTCAAAGTTTTTTAAATCTCAATTTTCATTTGAGACAAATATATAAATAATTAAAACTAAAAAACAAATTAGGTGATTAATTTTTAGTAAGAAACTTTTATATGTTGACAGTAGAGAAATCAGCAATAAAATTACTTCGCTCACCGTAAGTAAAATTGGATAAGTTGCCGCCATTGATAAAACCGTGCAGCCTAAATAAATCCCCGAAACTGTTACGACCGGGTCTAAATGGGAGTGGCGTATAGACGTGAAGGGCGGCTGCCCAATACATCTCGCCACCCACAGAATTTCCTTCGTAGCGGGGTCCACATCCTCTCATGTCAAATCCACGTAGATTCAGTGGACCTCCCAGGAAAAAATGATCTGCGATACTTATCTTCATGTCGTTACTGATTGCACTCAACAGCCCAGACTGAAGACCTAGTTGGAATGTCTATTCGAAGTAAACAATTTGTAATTAAATATTTTACAACACGTATACAAATTGTCAGAGAAGCTAAAAATAAGAAATATTTCACAATAGATAAATAGTACTTACAAGATACTTGTGTGGTGACCAATTAGTCTGTATGGCGAGTTCGTTTCTCAAGAAACCAATATCACCACCCAAGCCAGCCATTTCTGTTGTTAATCGCATTAAGCTCCCGGCCATGGGAAATATAGAACAGTCCCTTTTATCTATCGTCCAGATATATCTCAGTGCAGATTTTAAATTTGGACCGCATTGCTCCCGAACACGAAAGGCCGCAAGTTTCGAGCAACTAATGTTCCTAAATGCAGCTTCGTATTGTATGTTGTGCTTAGAAGTGTCTGTCTGATTAAGTTCCATGTCAAACAGAAGTCCCTTGTCGTTTTGTTTAAATCCAGACCACGGGAAATCATGTGTTGTGCTGAATACAGTACTAGTTAATCTGTAAAACATTAATTCAACCAGTAATGCAATTCTAATATATGCATCAAAAATTAGATACGAATAGAGATATCTCAACTCACACTGCGTTGTATAAGCTCTGTGGAAACGGTTTAATGGCAGATACATTGAAATTGATCGAACTTTTGTTACCGTAAGAATACTCCATCTGAACACGTTCTGCTCTGCCAAACAGATTCGGCGCTCTCGCGCCGATAATTAGAGATCCCTCGTTGTTTCCAACCATCGTGCTGATACCACCAACCAAACGTCGCATTTCACGTACCATAAAAGTGACCTAACAATAAATATAATCCAGACATGAACATTACAGATGAATGCGAACTTGCA